GAGTGGGTGCGGGGGACCTGCGGGGCAGAGGTGCTGGGGGGTTGTGCCGCAGGGGGCGAGGGGGCCACCAGCCTCCCCTCCTGGCACTGTCCTCCTCTCTCTCTCTTTCTCACCCGCTTCTCCTTTGCGCAGCTCTTTGCATCTGCAAGGAAAGAAGAGAGGGAAGAGGAGAAGGAGGGCGGGCACCTTGCTGGCCCCCTGTTTCTGGTTCGGCACTGCCACCCCCTGCCACAGCCCCACCCCGCGATGCAGAAGCTGGAGCCGCAGGCTCCAAGCACAGTAGCGGCCCCCGGGCCAGGCGAGCAGACGCCCATTCTCAGCCTGCGCTAGAGAAGCCAGGCTTCCCCCACAGCACCGTACCCCAAACCCACCTCTGCTTCTAGAGGGTGTAGTCCCTCGCAGCTCCCTGCTGGGCCGGGGCTCTTCCGGCGCTGCCAAGGTATGGTACTGTCTTCCTGCTTGGGGTGTGAATAAGTAGACTCAGGCCAGCCTGTCAGAACAGACTCCCTATCAGCCCCCGTGGGAGAGCAGTAGGCTGCCCTAAGGATCCTCCCCACCCTGTCTCTCTGCCCTGTGCTGCCCAGCAGGTGCCATGAAGCACATGGTGGGCAGAGGAGACCTGGCAGCAGGAGGGCATAGGTCTTGGGGCCTGAGTTAGGCCTGAGTCCCGTCCCACAAGGTTGGTCTTTGGTAGAGATTTTCTTTAGTGGTTGGCGGGGGGGACATAGGACAGGACTCATTGCCTGTGTGGTCATTTGCTTGTTGTCCATATGTGTGTGTTTGTGTGTGTGTGTTTGTAGGGAAGGGATTGTTACATGACCATTTGCCTGTTTGTGTAGCATGTGTGGTTTTGTATGGTGTGTGTCAATGGTGTTTGTGTGGTCTCTGCGTAGGTAAGCGTATTGCCTTTGTGACTCTTTCCTTGTCTGTGTGTGGTGTTTGTGCGGTGTGTGTGTGCATAGCGGGAAAGCTGGTTGCCTATGCACCCATTTATCTGTTGAGATGGTTCTCTTTACACCGTGCCCAAACTGGCCTATTCTTCCAGGAAATGCCCCATTGAAGTTCTCTATTTTCTCTTTGCTTCCAGGGTGGGATCACATCCCCTGTTTAACCTCTTGCAGCCTGACCCTGCTGCCACAGAGTACAGAAAGGAGGGTGCAGGCAGGAGAGGATCCATGGCTAGGCCAGGATTAGCAGGTGTCTGTCCTTCGATGAGTAAAAATCGTGATTAAGACATTCCAATAATGTGCAAAAACGCTGGAGCATTGTGCAGGCAGCTGGGGGCTGGGAGGATTGCCCCTGTGCTTGAGATCCCAGGTTATGGCTCATGGGAGTGAAAGCCTGGGATTGCATCTCTGTTTCACACGCTCTGAAATCCCAGCAAATGTCCTCCATCCACACACACAGCAGCCAAATAAGAAACCAAATGATACATATCAAATGGAAAGAACAAGACTAAATACTCTGAGTAGGAGCACGAATAAAATAAGCAAGGAACTGAGTGAATACCAGTAACTGAAAATCATGAAGCAAAGCCAGAGGTGAGAATGACAAATGAACAGGGGACTAAACTAGAAAATAATTAAGAAACAAGCAGTACAATAACATACAAAGACAGAGGACAAATTCTTTCTGCCTGCATATCTATCTATCTATCTATCTATCTATCTATCCTATTCCATGCCCTGGTCTATCTATCTGCACTTGACTGTTTGAAATGACTCATTTCCCCACTTTTTTTAAACCCCAGCTTTATCTTGGGATAGTGATTACTTTTTTCCTCTGCTCTTTTTGGCTTTTTGTCCTGTCTCTATTAGAAACAAACCAACCCGAAAAAAGAAAAGCTCCCCTTTTCACCTCGTTTTGGTTTGGGCTGGGGAGGCAAGGTCCACTAGGATCCCCTGGGTCACCCCCTCCTTTCACTATTCACAGCCCTGCCTCCAATTTTCACCATTTCATTTTCATCTGCGTCTTCCTTGATGGAAAGAGCATTTGATCCCGCAAACATAAATGGCACCACACTCTCATAAACTCTACTGGTTGCAGAAACAGAGATGACAGGAGACACGGATCCCACAGTCTTTGCTCAGGTAAACACTGGGCATATTGCTTGAGCAAGAACTTCATAGGATCATGCCTGGTAATGTATGATTCAAGCCTCCCTACTCCCCTGTACCCATTTTAAATAATTTTGCCTGTGAATCCCATTCCTTTCTGAAAATAAATCTAAGCAGAGAAGGAAACCTCCAACTCCATCCAGTGTGCACCTCATGCATATTTTCTAGACATTTTAAAGCACTGTAATGAGATTCATTCAGCGGAAAGAGCTAATTTCATTTTCTCATCTCTGTCTTTGGTGGATCCTGGTATTTTAATATGAACTCTATTTTAATATGAACTCTACGATCACAGCAATTTTTGGTTTCAAGTGCTTAGGCTTTACGACTAGTGAAGAAAACAGCAAAGGCACAAAATCCCCTGGGGATTTGCCTCTGTTTTGCTTGTAGTTTTCAATATATATTTTATTCCTCTACAATTATAATTTGGAGTGGAGGGATTTGCTAACTGTCATGAAAACCTAAACCCCAAACCCAAATGAATTGGATGACAATAACAAATACTTTTTTTTTTCAGGCTGAGAGAAAAAGGCTAGAGAGACCAAGTAAAATACATTTAAAAAAAAGTCAAACCTTGTCTTAGCGGCGTATTAGGAAACCAGTTGGAATTTTTTTATTTTACCATAACATGTTTGAAGTTTCAAATAGAAAGAAAAGAAGAAAAGGCGGGTTACTGTGGGGCTGTTTCCTAATTTGCAATCGTTTTACCGATTGGCTTTTTGAATCTATTTCTTCAAAAGGAAAGAGGAAAAGAAGTCCCAGTAGGTATCCAGCAGGGTTCCTATATGGATGTGCTATCTTTGGCAGGAGGTGAATGAAGTGGGGAGACTCTACCCTCAAATCCCTGTGTGTAAATCGGGAGGGAGCCTTGGGAAGTTAGTGCTGGTGCTACTGTATGGCCAGGGAGATGAGAACCAAAGTCACACCCAGGGCAAGGGGCCATCAGTTTTCTTAGCATTTCTTTCCTGCTCCTTTCCAGGCAGGACTGATGTTATATCACATCGCGCCCAACAGCACCCTCCTTGTCTAGTCCCATTTGCATTCCCCATTAGTGACTAGTGCAGCGCCTGTACTTCTTTCTAGAGACCTCTTTTTTTTTAAGCAATTGCCCCCTGCACTTTCTACTGAATTGGAAGAAAACAATATTACCTGACGGGCCCAACTTGGATTTTCCAGGAGTATTTAACTCTGAAGGTCCCTCCTGGAAAGCAAACAAGCGGCTCAACCTCACCAATCTTGCAGCTTGGCAGCCAAAGTTCCCTCTAGTCTTCTTATTTGTCACAGAACCATCTCGCTAAAGCTCGAAAGAATCTTTATTTAGTCTTGCAGATGTCACCGGGCCCTGCAGATTGGAAACGAGTCCAAAGGATTAAGCCGAGGTTATTAATTGGAGGCCTTCCCCTTTAAGAATGATTGACAGTTACTTTCTGGACAAGTAATTGCTCTAAATGTCCCCCCAGTCCAGGGGAGGGGGAGTCCAGTGATGGACAAAGAAGGGAACTGCCTTCCCTGCTCAGATTGTCTCCTGTACAAAGGCGTCCTGCTGGAGTTTTCCTTGTAATCCCCTCATTATTGGAGAGGAAAAGAATTAGAAACACAGAGAGAAGAGAAGAAAGGCAGAGGGGGTGGAGGAGAGGGCGAAAGAGAAACAATTTGCTTTGGCCTTTTCAGCAGCTCTGTGGTTTTCCTGGGGGAAGTTTACTGACTCGGGGACTCGAGCACAATCCGGAGGGGAGAGGAGCTCCCCCATCCTCCCGCCTGCCCTGTGGTGGGCACAGCCCCGTGCAGGCTCGCAGTCACACCGTGATTTACCAGCCTGCCCGCAGCGAGGAGGGGCGGCTTTGCAGTCACAAATGCTGGCCACGGTCACTTGGGACCTTCCTGTGACATGGAGTAATAATCCTAATGGGATCCTAAAAATCTTAACGGGAACATTATTTAGGTCCAAAATACGTTCCCAGTCACCGGCTCCTTTCAGAGCCAGTTCCAGTCTCCTCCTGGCTTCTCATTTGCTCTGTTTCCTGCAAGCGTTGTCTCGGTATCTCTGCCCATTTCCATCCCAGCTCCTGGGCATGGTCTCCTTGCCCAGCCAGTTCCAGTTTTGGGCAAACTGAGGCAGATCTTCACAGGAATGGCAAAACACAGCCTCCTCCGGCTCAGTTCCCAGCCCTGCTCCAAAGCAACAGGAGGCGTAGGACTTTCCCAAAAAGTTCACCCACATTTTTGAATACTGAAAACCAATATTTCCCCAGGACTCATCTGCAGAAATGGCAGGGCTGCCAAGGTTGAAATCTTCTACACTGATTCACAGCACAGAAAATTTCAGAATGAAGTGTTAAAGTCTGATATAGTTATGCTCAAAGAATATTAGGGTTTTATAATGCTGGGTAATCTCAATAATACTGGAGTGTAATACCTGTCTACAGGATGGCCAAACCCTCAAAGTTATCACCAC